ATATATATATATAAATATTATATTATTTATATTATTATTATTAATATTATTAATATATTAATATTATTTATATTATTATTAATATTAATTAATTACTAGCTTATCATTATCTATAGATAATGATGAGTTAGTAATTAATTAACACTCACTTCGTCTAATAGCTATATGTATAAAATTAGCTAATAACTAAGTAGAATAAGTAATAAAGTAATGATATTAGAAAATATATCAAGCCGCTATCTAATATTCTAGATAATGAGTTAATGACTATTTAGATCAGGAAACTGTTATACCGACGAAATGTGGCCACATGCGCATGTGAAAGGTGACAGCGTGAATTTGAAACATATGTGTACTTATAATTACATCACTTTTTAATGATAAAACAATATGTTTATTAAATCTTTGCCTTATGGATAGTATTGAAAAGCTTAGCTCTAGACCTTTATGTAAGGTAGAATATATCATGAATCATAAGCAAAATCATCGTAACATGTATTGCTTTAATGAGAACTTTCTTGTTCTTCTTGTTACTAATTTCTGGGTATGACCGATGTCAATATTCGCACTGTTCGAGGGTTGCTTTTTATTTCTATAATAGACATTAGTCATCTACAATAGACGGGCGAAGGCTTGTGATCTTCTCCCGCGCTTATCTTCTGCCGAAAATAAAAAGCAACTCCCGAACAGTGCGAGTATCGGTATCGATTGTAATCCGGAAATGAGTAATAAAAAATAAAACGTCGAAATCAGTGAAGGAGGATAAGCTTAACTTTTACTAAATATGTTACCTTTACTTATATTATTTCAGACTAATTATTGTTTGTCAATATATATCACATAATAAAAAATAAACATGATATTTTAATGTTATTTTTTTATTTGAGTTATATTAATCTGTCAAAAGTTACTTACGTTTGAGTGAGTTTGTATACAGTTTATATAAATATTTACAAATAAAAATTTTAAATTAATTCTATTGAAATATTAAACCGTTTTTATGAAAAGATCTTTCTTTCTTAGATATAGAGATTTTTCTTTAAAACTTTTATTCACAGAAACTTAAAACTGTAATTCGCTCAATATTTTGATTGTAAAATATTAGTTTGTCCGTTAGTTTATAAAATTATATGTAAATAAAAATGTTTTGAGTTTTCCAGAGATTTATAACAGCAACGACGTAAATTAAAAGTATTTTTCATTTGTTATTCATTTTAGTACAAAGAAAATATTTAATATTAATATTACATAGTACATTTATATAAAATACAATATGTTATTAAAAACAGGAAAGAGCGATTTTTTTTAATGGACAGTTAATAATATAGATAGTAGATAATACATATGATAATATATATGATACTTATGATTACTTATGATACTATATGATTATTAAACATTACAGAACACGCAGCATTCATTTTGTGATCTATTCAACGTTTCTGCATCTTTTTTTCTCATTTGTACTCAGCTATCTCTCGTCAGCTTTCCTTAAACATATACAAGATATTTACAAAATGTGACATATATTTATTTTTTTCTTATTTTTTTCGATTCCTTAAATTTCGAGTTGGCAAAAGTGGCGTAACAGGTTCGACTTCCGCGAATGAGTCATTTTCAACGAATAATTTTTTTCTACGAGTACGTCTTTTCTCAGTCGATGTTTCCTGCGGTGGCAAAGTGGTATTCCTCGTACTGCGTTTAGATTCAGACCCAGACAATTCGACAATCGGTATATTTTCCTGTTTTGCGGATGGAATGGTTTTCTTTCCTCGTCGTTTGGGCCGTTGAACCGAAGTTTCCTCTTCCGACGTGCTATCAACACTGTTTTGGTTTTTGGTTTTCGCGTTAATTTCATATTTCTGTAATTTATCTTGAAGAATCTCTATATGATTTTGCAATTTCTTGATATCATCTTTATTTGGCGTCGGTGTAATTTGCCGACGGAACAATTCTTGGTATCTCATCACTTCTCTTTTTTGCATGTCTAGTTCATCCTGCTGATTCTTTACTAAAGTTTCATACTTGGTTACCGTTTCATCTCGATTCTTCATGAATGCATCCATCTCGCGTTCTTTTTGCGTTAGACCGGTTCTTAGTTCTTCGTTTATATTTCGCAATCGTTCATTTTCAACTTGTCGTTCCTTAGAATTTTGCTCAAGTAGATTAAGTATTTTTACATTTCTCTCAAAATTTTCCAAGTGAATTTTCAACTCTTTCATATCTTGTTCCTTTTGGTGAAGCGTTTCTTTCGTCTGCGTTAATTCGTTTATAGCATGCTTTAATTCGGCTTCCATTATAGTATCAGTCGTCTCGGCATTTTCGCTTTTCTGTATCATACGTTTTAGTTCTTTTTGTAAAGTCGCAATTTCAACATCCTTCTCTTGTTCCTTAGAAATTGTTTCTTCCAATCGACTTTCGAGTTCGAACAATTTTTTATTATTTTCGTCGAATGCTTTTTGTGTACAATCCTTTTCCATTTGACACGCTTCTAAGTTCTTATTTAGTTGATCAATGTCGTGTTTCAACTTCTCTATAGTTTTCAAACTATTTTCTAATTGTGATATTTTTTCTGCATATTCGTCTGTAATTTTTTGTTTTAAAACTATATCGGAATTCAATAAAGTCTCCTCTAGTTTTTGTTTCTCTTCTATAGCCAATGACAATTGTTTTTTAAGCACTTCTGTGGATTGTTTATATTCATCTAAAACAATTTTATTCGAACAATTTTCTTCCTGTAGAGTCTGCATTGTCTTTTTCAAATCGTTTAATTCTTCACTCAACTCTTTCTCTTGTAAACATTTATGTTCGTATTGCATTTGAATATCATTAAGTTTGGCAAGCATATCTGATTGCATCTTTGCATCATCTTTTATTTCGACAGCTTTATCATTTGATAAAGATTTTTTGCAACTTGTTTGTATATCCTTCGATATTTTTATTATCGGAGTAGTTTGAGTACCTTCTTCCAATTTGTTTTCAGTATCATTATAATCCTTATTGTTTGTTATATCTATCCGGCAATCTATTTCTACCCGCAGAGGTTTAGAAAGAATTTCTTCTGGATTTAAGTTATTCAAATCAGTTTCTTTAGCTTCAATATTAGCTTCTGCATTTTCTACCTTTTCTTTTATATTTCCTCTAATATTACTTGAATCTTCAAACACATTATCAGTAATTATCTCTTCTTTTATGACAATCTCTTGATATTCATTTTGAACAGATGCTAATTCCTGTTTATGGGATTTAATTAATGCTATTTTTTCATTTTTTAACCTGTTAATTTCTTCTTGCAATTGCAAGATTTTATTTTCATTATGGTCTTCAAGTTTCTTTTCTAGAAGCTCTACTTCTCTCGTTTTTTCTGTCAAGCAAACATTAACATCTTCAAGATGTAATTCTAAATCTTCAATTTTTTCTTCATTTTCTATCAGAACTTTTGCTTGGTTATCAATGTAAAGGTCTTTCTTTCTTAAATCAGATGTAATAGCAATATATTCTTCTTTTGCTTCATTGAGAAATTCTTTAAGTTTTTTAATTTGTTCATCCTTAGCATGTAATTGTAAGGTGATTTCTTTTATGTAAGCTTTACCATCTTGAGTGGAACAAATATCTTTTTGAGCAGTTTCTAAAAGATTTCTTGCAACTTTTAAATCCTCCTTTGTCAATCCTAATTCAAAAGCAGCTTTATTTTTTTCTATAATTAAGGTTTCATTTGTTATTTTCACTTCGGTTAATGTCTTATTTAAAGATTCATTTTTTTCTAGCAGTTGTGCATTTTCTTCAAGTAATTGTTTAATAGTTAAATTAAGGTTGTCATCATCTTCATCGCTATCATCAATGCAATCGCTGTGTTTTTTTCTCTTCCTATGTAACTCATACTTTCCTTTATAAAATTCTTTAATCTGTTTCACAGTCCACTCGAGGGTATCTTCGTGTTGAATTTCCATATCCTCTATACGTTGTTTCCAATCGGTTTCGAGCTTATTTATCATTTCAATGTATTTGTCAGCCATTTCCTGTCGACTCTGAAAATCTCTAATTAAAGCTGAATTCTTTAAAAGAGTAATCTCCTTCTTCAACTTTTTGTTTTCATTTATAAGATCTATGTATTTTTCTGAAATAATATACTCTGAATCATCTTCTTCCATGCTATTCGTCTGTTGCCAATTCGCACTTTCCAATTCTATAGTATCCCAATCGGTTACTGTCTCTATACTCTGCATGACTAATTGTGAAAATCTTGATTTCAATTTTTTTTGTATTTGCTTCTTTTTTTCTATAATAATTTTTTTCGCAATAGCTGCAAATTTCAATACATTTTGAGTTTCTATATAAAGACTTGGCAAAGGATTAACATTAACTATTAAATCTAGGTGTTCCTTTCCCGATAATGCTCGTTGAAATAATCTGGTTAATTTAGATTCTCTAAATGGTCCCACAGTATCCGTTTTCGTTCTTGTTAGTTGTCCTTCATGAATAGATTTTAAACATCTGCCCAACACTAGTAAACTAGTGTTGATATTTTGTGCCTCTTTCAATCTGTCACCAATATTCAATGTCTTCTTCACACGTTCCGAACCCGCCAGATCACAAAAAGAAAACCTGTAAAAATGTATTAATTAACGTAATAAATAGCCTCCTTAATATTCTCCTCTATAATTATCCTCTTTTTCATAATTAAAGAAGCCAAAGAAATATATTATTAAACTTTAATATTTTATGAAAAATGATAAGAATAAATTACATAGAATTACAAATATCAGATATTAGAGAGAGAAATACATACGTGCTCAATTCAACTGTGTCGGGTAAATTTTCTGCATAATATTTTAATAATATAATTGTAAATATACAATGAGATCTTGAACTTTTGGCATTTAATGCAGTTGCAGCTACTTTTAAATTATACTGTCCTGCCATTAAAATGTGATAAGCTTCAGCAGCTGAGTTAACATAAATAGTTTTTAAACCTTTAATAAATGCTCTACCATTGGAATCTGTTCCCAATTTTAATGGTACTTTTTTTTGACATTCATTGGATAATAAATCATATACAATTTCATTATAGATTTCTGCGAATGAAACCCAAACCGAATAATGTGCATCATGGCATTGACTCGGTCGAATTAATTCTTCTTGCCTCAATAATTTTTGTGTTTGCTCATAAGTATTCATATAGTGATGTTTATCCACAGAACTAAATGTTAACAGTTTAGTTTTTGCTTCAATTTCCTGCGCACGTTGAAGTGCATTAAGATTAATTACATCATTATAATGCAGAGGTTTATAAAATGGATTTGGGTTTGTCGTAATATTATTAAACACAAATTCTAGTGTACGTAGAATAAGTCCAGGTGAAGTTGGAGTTCCTTGCAATGTATATGATTTTCCCGAATTTGTAGTACCTACAAAAT